TATGGTAACCTTCATGGGAAATTTCACTGAGTTTTAAGTTGATGGGGGTTTAAATTATTTTTTTATGCTTGAAATAAATGTCTAAGTGCTCACCGCCTCAGGACTCACCAGTTTTTAGAAACATTATTTAGGCAAAAAAGACCTACTTGTCTTTTACTAAGTATGAACAGCTTCAGCCAATAGATTTTGACAACAGGTGCTCTGCATTCTGAGTCTCAAAAATCTGAGGACATGTTCCTCCCAGGTGAGTAATCCTATGAACCTGGAATGAAAGACTGATGAAACTTGAACTTGTTTGAAATTCAGCAGAAACACATCTCCCTGGTAGTTTGGACTTACACCAGATAAATCAATCCCATAAACATGCAACAGTACCCAGATCTCACTTTTAAAAAGTCTTTCTGTTCATCAAGCGATTACCTCGCTGTCTCCTTGGTTTGCAGTTTTATTTTTTTCCTTGTTTATAGTAGCATGAGGATCCTCCAACTCTCTGCCATGCACAATACCTAAAGCCACCTGACTTTGTTAAACTGTATCACAGCCCTGTGTTTGTGAAAATCTGCCACCTCATCTTCCTTCTCAGAAAACATCCAACTGTCTACGGAAAACTTCAACTGTTTTTTTAGTTTGAGTTTTAAATTGTTAACTGAAATGTAAGCATTAATTAGTATGTTTGTTCAACTGTAGTTTTTATATCTTAAACTTTGAAATCTTCTGTTGAGCTTTTAAACACACACACACACACACACAGAAATTTACACCTTTACCAAAAGGGTTTTTTTGTACGGGGGATCAAACTCAGGACCTTGCATTTGCGAGGCAGACACAGTGCCACTGAGCTAAATCCCTGGCCCTACCAAAAGGTTTTCTAAAGCCCCGTAACTCAGACTTGGTTGGTTGGTACTATTGAGCAAATTTCAAGATCTTTTCCCATACTATAATTAGGGATTAGGAAACTTGGAAACTAACAAACTCCACGCATATGTGGCATCAACATCAAGGCTGTAATACAAAAGCTACCAGATGAGGATGGAAGAAAAGATAAAAAAGGGAGGAGGAGGAAGAAGAGGCAGACAGAAAACTGAAGGGGCAGATACACTTTATATCAATAGACTCTTGAATATATGTAATATCTCCAAAATCAAAGGCTAAAAACGGATGAAAGACTGCCCCTTCACTCCTCTCTGGAGTTACTTATGTGATACCCAATTTCGGGAGGGCCTCCTAAGACATACATATAACCACTGGGTAAAAATAGCTGTTTTCCCACTTCCCTATATAAATCAGATCAAAAAATGAACACAGGAGAAACAAGTCAACCATCAAGACAATTTTAGACATTTAAATAACAAATGCTGGTTGTTAAAATTCATTTCATCTTGTTTGTTCCTGGTACACCAATTCAGTTCAATTGATCGCAGCAACCACTGGGCAGAGACTTCATCTCCCAAATCTCCCTGAAACATTTCATGACCAGGGAGATGGCAACTCAACTTGACATTTGCAATAAAGTCAGTAAATGAATGTCACTAACTTTCAGGTCTAGAAACCAGGCTGCAATTTAGCAAAGCTCATCAAATACTATTATGTGAGTGGCCCTGAGAATTGGGTTTTCAATATTCATCTCAGGAATTTAGGCTCTGTCACAGATTTGGGGGCCTGGGTCAGATACTTGACCACTGAATTGAAGCTTCCCAGTACTCCCTGCCACACTTACATGTTACACATACACAAAGCTTCCACTTATTTATAAAAAAGAGGATTTTTGTTTGTTTGTTAAACTCCAGTACCCTGGGGAGATTGTATTAACTATTCTGAAAGCAGGGTCTAGTAATAATCCTGGTATAACAAAGCCTAACATTTACCCAAAGGCAGTTCTTTGAAATGATGTCTAAGCAAAAATGCAGGACAAAAGCTAAGGAAGCCTGATGAAAATGTCCCTCTAAACCTCACATATGCAAAATTAGCACAAATGAGAATATCAAGCAGCAGAGTCTGCCTTACTCTGGATCCAGATAATGGTCGTTAATTTTAGACAGCATTCCCACCTCAGCTAACAGAAAATAGCCCGTGTATTAGAAAAGTTCCGGCTCTACTAGTCAGTACATACATACTGATACGGTCATGTACTCTTTTGATAGCAGCAGAAATGGAGTTACCATTTCTAGGAAACTAGGCTTTTCTTGTTCCAGTCCCTGGTGTTCCAAAGGAGAACCTTAATAAGACTGACTGATCACAAAATGGGTTTGCTGGAAAGCCAACCATCCTGAAGTGTGAAGTTCTACTTTCTCCTCGGTGATCTTTTCAACATTACCCTACACAGCTAATGCCTTCTCTGCTATGAACAAGAGCAGCCGTGGCCCAAATCAATTCCTATCCCATTATGAAACAGATCTCACTAGCCGGGGGAAAGGTTAAGTAGCACTGTAAGAAATCTTTGTGTACCAACAACTTTGAGAACAGGACTAGCTCATTTATAAGTTAGATAAAATAAGTAAGTTGAATCGATTTGTCAAGTCAAATAATTTGTCCTTTAACTGGAATGAATTCTAATCATTTATTTCTCCCTAGAATCCCAGATGGCTGATTGTCACTACCATAAACAAATGGTATGACTCATCCATTATGTAAGTCCACCACTGGCAACACCACCTTCAAATGTGAGAAGAGCTATAAATTGCAAATCCAAGGTACAACTTTCACTACAATCTTTATCATAAAGGTATGATTAAGTTAATAATAATATGGCTATTAAATTTCTACCCTAAACTTTTGCCTATGAATTAATGGGCAAAAAAAATCTATGGAATCTTTACCTTTTAATGGTATTTTATTTTTAGTCTATAAACAAACATCACACTGACCTAAAAAATGACTTAAAAAACAAATCTTCCCTCAGTTCTATCCAGCTAACACAAAGGGCAAGGACATTTCTCTGGTAACATACTTCTGAAAGAGTTGACAACATTCATTTAACTTCATTTGAATAACCTTTTAATGACTGCAATTCAGTTTTTCTTCCCATGATTCCAAGGAAATGGGTTTTTGGAAGTCATTCCCAGCATCCTGGATGGCATATCCTAAGGTACTGTCTTTGTCCTCAGTCACCTGAACACCTCCACAGCTCCCAGAACACATCTTTTTTCTTACCTCCCTGACCTGTTTTTCCTTTCCCTTCTGTCCCTTTATTTTTTTTTTTTTTGGTACCAGGGATCGAACTTGGGTCCTTGCACTTGCGCAGCAGGCGGCGAAACCACTGAGCTAAATCCCTGGCCCTCCTTCTATCCCTTTAAACACAGTCCCTAAGGTCTGCCCTTGAACTTGGCTAAATTTAGATAAATTTACTGTGATATCCACACCAGTAGCTATGGGTGACTGGTTCCAGGATGCCCCACCTACATCCCCAAGGACACCAAAATCCATGGATACTCAAGTGTGTTATGTAAAATGGTGTAACACTAGGAAAATCCAAACCAGAACTACCATAAGTTTCCACCTTCCTTCAGCCAGAATGGCTGTTGAGAATACAAAACACAATGGTGATGAGGATGAAGGGGAAAAAAAAGGAGTCCTGCTACAATGTTGGTGGGAATGTAAACTAGTACAACCACTATGGAAAACAACATGGATATTCCTCAAAAAACTTAAAACAGAAATACCATTTGATACACACATACCACCTCCAGGTATACTGCCCAAAGAATTAAAAATAGCATAGTATAGTAACACATGCATACTCACGTTTATAATGGCACAATTCACAATAGCTAAGCTGAGTTAAAATGAGCCTTCATAGTGAGCTACATCCCTATGTCTTTGAGTTTTAATTATGAGCCCACTCTGGGCTCAAACTTGTGATCTTGTGCTGGGATTACAGATGTGAGCCACCATACCTAGCTTCTCCAGATATTTTTTGATCTATGGCTAGTCAAATCCAAGCATACAGAATGCCAACTAAATTTTAAAATAGGGCAGGGGGGAGGCCTGAAGGGGGGAAATGGGATAAAATAAAAATTAATAAAAAATAAAATAGGGCAGTATTTTTTCCTTTTAATATTTTAATCTGAGTAGTTTATTACCCTATTCTTTACTAAAAAAGTTAATTATGGGGCACTTAACTCACTATCATCTTTTCTCCCTCAGATCTTTTCATTTTCCAATGACTCAGAATAGCTACAGAATTCATTTAAAATGTTATAAATAAGACCATTTCTAACCAGGCACTAAATTAGGTTTGTGCCATTCTCTAGGAAGTCCTTGTTTCGATATATACAAGCCACTACATTTAATTTCTGACTATTCAAATGGGATATAAAGACAAATATATCAACTAAAACCAATAGTCAATTATATTTTGCATATAAAATATTTTCATATAGTTCAATCTACTATATTTATTTTAATCACTGAAATACAGATTTCAAACTTCATAAATCCAGATCCTGAAATTTCCTAAACTAAGTCTAATGCTTCAAATCTTTATAATAATACGGAGATGTCCTCATTTGCTTGCTTTGGCAGCACCTCCATTAACAAATTAGCATCTGGATGCTTTTCTTCCCCACATGTACAAATATGGATGGTTTAACTGAAATGTTAAAAATAAAGCAAATAACTCCAGTGCTACATAAAATGTTCTTAAAAATTATAGACTGTTTGTCCTAAGGGTACCTTACTTCGTTGTAAAGTCAGGGAGAATTCAAACAATTGGTGACAGTCCTCCAAAATGAAGCTGTGTATTGTTTAAGCTTTTAAAACTTACAGAAAGCATCAGTGTCAATCAATGGTATATACTGATAATCCTGTAAGTTATGATAATGGTTGTATATGTCCATATGGTGATCCTAAATAATATTCAAATATACTGGAACTTTTTGGGGTAAAATTTCAGTGTTTATGGCTGTGTAAAATGGTTTGTCAAACATACCACGTGTTAAGATGACGATAAACGTTTTGTCTTTTAGTTATAATTGTAAAAACAAATAAGCTTTCAGTCAGTATACTCTCTTAATATAATTGAAAGTCCATTTATTCTCTATGGGGTAACTAATTCCTGCAATTACTAAAACTGGACTTAAGATTGCAAAATAGATAAATGATACAAAAAGTTTTTCCTTTCTCTAATAAACATTAAAGGGAAAAAATGACAAATCTAGAAACAGTGTTTAAATTGGAATAACATGTTCTTACATGTTATAAGCTTTCGTATGAAAAGCATAGGAAGAAGGTTTACAACATATACCATGTGAAGCCACGTGAAGCCATGAAATTTCTTAGGAATGAAGAAACCAAAATTTTATCTAAGGATAAAAAGTCTAGTAATTTTCCTTTCTTCTAAGTCTGTGAAATCATCTCTTTTATGCTTTTCTTTTTAATATGAAAAATTAATGGACAGAAAATTTTTAGCAGAAAGAGCTATCAAATACAAATTTATACCAACTATCTGAAAATTCTTTTAAGTAACACAAAACCCAATTTGCCAAAGGCAAGATAATTAAAAACAAACAAAGAAACAAAAGCTGTATTTGAAGAAAAGTACTCTTTTTTTCTCTCTCTATATATATGGTATCACCTAAACTCTGATCAAATTTTACAAAATTTCTGAAGGGTGTTGTTAATCATTAAATGAATAATACCCTTTTGTCTAAAGTAATACTCCAATATTATGCATTTCAGATATTGTAATATTTTTATTTGGCAAAGAGAAGCCTAAGAATTTTTTAAAAAACATTTCCAGAGGCAACACCTTTTACCATAAAATAAACTTATGTGATTTGGGAGGACAAATCTCAAATGTATGTTGTTGTTTATGTGCCAATTTTATAATTAGTACAAAAAAGTTTGTTGAAATATTTTAAAAATGTAAAAACCAGTCCAGGCAACATAGCTATACAATCTTGCTGTAAAAGTACTTGTATCAAATCTGCCTAAAATATTTTTGCAATATACTAAATTTCATTCCTCAAGTTCCTTCTCACTGCCGGCTAGCTTTTCCATTTTCTGTTGTCTCCATCCTGAAAAAATAGAAGGGAAAAAATGAGTAAGTAAATTAAAATATTAACTAGCCACATTTCTTCTTAATTATCTACCTTGCATACAGAAACTAAAATCTAAGATATTCATAGAACAGAACATGAGCAGTCCAGGAAATGATTAAGTCTTCTACTTAGTCCAACTTCCTCATTTTAAAAACAGTTAAAATTGAGCCCTGAGAGAATGAGTGACTTTCCCAAACTTACAATGTAGTTTTGTTCACTATACCACTCTCCCTTCTCCAAGCAAAATATGGGAAAAATCTCTACCATTTAGTCAAGATTTCTTTTCCACTAAAGATACTCTTTTGGCATTATATTTTAAGATTTCTTCTAAAAAATAATTAAAATAATTAGATCTGAGATTTATTCTATTATAATCAATATTTTGACTGTATTATTACTGACTGATGATTATTTATTATATAATAGGGAAAACATTTTACTCTTGTTATTTTATACAGATTCACTGTTGCCTCTTAAGTGTTCTCTACGATTTTCCCTCTCTGATGATTACTAAGCATTGAAAAAATATCACAAGTGGTAAATACTTTCAGGATTATAATCAATATAACTGGGGCCTGTATGGGTACTAAGAATCAAACAAGTTAATTTTTTTGGCGTATAGATATCATGTGTTAAGTAGTAAAAACTTGCTGAGCACAACAAATAAGCAGTGTTTATTAAGATCCCATCTAGGCAGTTAATAAAACCATCTTCTACAATAAATAACACAAACCCATTTTCTTCCTTGAGATGTTGATACAACTCAGCTCTATTATTAACAGAGTTCAAACGTCCAGCAAACTCTTGATGTTTTCTCGAATTGGCAGTATTGATCCTATTACACCATAGGGATAATAAGGACACTGGCCCTGGTGTTGTATTAGAAAGAAAAGAAACAAAGGTAAAAAATTTTATTACTTGGAAATTCACAAATTTAATAAACTTCCCTTTAATTTTATTGTTCATTTTATACCAGTAAGGCAATAACATCTCTTATATTAAAATTTATGTGTTTCAGGGTCCCCACGACTACTCAGTAGTCTCAACTGCTTTTCTGAAAGGATTTAAATGACTTTAAATTAAAAGTTATACTGCTGGCTAAGAATTAGCAACACAGTAAAGACCCATAGCCAGATCTATAAGGGGAAAATTAGGCAGAGCCGAGAGGAATCTGTATCTAGGATTTCCTTGTTCTCTGCCTTCGATGACAGTTCACACTAAGTACATACTCCTTCTAGAGATAAAAATGCAGCTCTGTGTGGGGTGTGTGTGTGTGTGTGTGTGTGTGTACGTGTGTGTGTTAGTTCTGCCAAGAACGCCTGTTTGTGACTCAAGAGTCCAGGGTTTTTACTGGGGACTGACTCTGCAGGCATTCTCCGCCTAACCAAACAACCAGTGTTCCAGACTTCCAAAGTGAAAGCTGTTGTACAGTTCAGATGAGAGGCAAAATTACTTTATCATTAATGGAACATTTCAAATGCCATGTTCCCAGATGCCAGCCAACTGCCAAGCTTGAAGGCAAGCTTTTCTAATGATAACAGCTTTGGGGCTGTAAAGCTAAACTCTTTCCTGTATAAGATGACAAGGGAAAAGAACTACAACAGCCAAAACATTTTGAAAAGTAAAACAAGAAGAAGTTGTGGCGGGGGGGGGGAGCAGTAGCAACAGTACAGTGGTAGTAGTAGTTGTTGTTGGAGGGCTTTTTAAGACCTGATTTCAAGATTTAACTTACAGTATTATGATTATGCTTACAGTACTTATGATTATGACAGTATGCTACTGATGAAAGGACAGAGTAACAGACCCATATAATATATAACAGAAACCAGGCACAGACTCCTATATACACAGTTAAATGACTTGTAATAGATACATAAGAGTAATTCAATGAAGAGGGATACCCAAATACTTCTCCAAATTACCTATTCTACTGTTTCAAAAACATTTTAATGTATATGCTAATTTGATTCATTTATACTACTAGTTTTCTTAGTTTGCTGAAAATAAAGTTTCATGTTATTATCTGTTTCTTCTTTGTAAGAATCTTTTTGTCTATGTCTTGTAGTCTGAGTAACTACTTTAAAGATAATGATGCACAGCGTATTAAAAAAATGGACAAGATGTTTGAATGGAACTTTCACCAATGAAAGTAAACAGACGGCAAATAACAAATGGAAGTCTTGTCATCATTAGATATGCAAGAAATGTAAATTAAAACAAAAATGAATTACTACTACACACTTATTAGGAGAGCTAAAACAACAACAACAAATAACCCTGACAACACAAGTGCAGACGAGAATACAGAACAACCAGAACTCTCTTATTATCGGCAGTGGGAATGCAAATTCGCACAAGCAATTTGGAAAAATAAGCTGGCACCCATACACTTTATAAATAAATGGGAAAAAAGAACAAAGTACAGACACACAACAGAGATGAATCTCAAATGCACTCTGCCATGCGAAAGAAGACAAGCTCAAAAGGCAGCATAATATTTGATTTCATTTAAAAGATACTCTGAAAAAGGCACAACTATAGCATGAGAAAACACACCAGTGGTTTCCAGGGATTGGGCGCCCGGGGAGTGTAGGATGACTACAAAGGTGCAGAACAAAGGAATCTGGGATGGATTGTTCTGTTCTGTGCCAACTGTGGCAGTGGTTATTATATAACTGCACACAATGTCTAAACTCATAGAATTGCACACCAAAAAGAGTAAATATTACTGTATATAAATTTTAAAGTAAATTAAAAATAAAAATACTTTATTATAAAACCAATACAAATTCATTAGAGAAAATTTAGAAAATAATAAAAAAAGAAGCAAAAATAAAAATCACCTACTGTACCACTGCTCTAATAATAAAATACTATCTTGGTTTTTCTGTTACAGCATTTTACAATGAGAACTTAATCAATTTTCACCAAATCTCAGGGGCACATTTGTAATAATCAAACGTATGGCAGGGGTGGGCTGTTTGTATCATTGAAAGCTCTGAAAGGTTTGCCATCACTGGTCTAACCTTATGGAGCAACATATACACAGGGACAAAATTGCCTTTGGGCAGGCCTGGAAAGTTAGCTTCTAAAGCAGATGAAACTGAGGTATATAAAAAGCCCAGACAAATTGCTGATCAGAAGAGACATCTGATTAAGTTGTAAGACAGAATGGAAGAAAAAACAAAAACCAAATTAACAGCTTTGCGCAGTGGCAGTACTGTAGCCAATGAGGTTTATCCGAGGCGCGATTATTGCTAATTGAAAAACCAAATAAACTATTTTTCAAACATCGGTCTCAAATGGAAAGTTCCAAGGGCAGACAACAATTTGCAGTCAAACTGCCTCTTGTGTAGGCCATGCCACCATTCCATGTACTATTTCCAGGGTGAAAAACATCAAGGATCCATTTAATTTAAGATAGCTGATAATTCATCTAAGTGAAAAGTTTCTGTATATGTGTACGAAAATGTTTTTTAAAAGCAAAATTGAGATCACATTATATATGGATTTATAGCCTGCTTTCTCCACCCCCAAACTTACATTAATTACTTTACTCAGTCAGCAAATAATTGAACTCACAGAGTGACTCAGGGGCTGTGTTGGACAGTACTGACATAACAGTAAATGAAAAACAGTCTCTGCCTTTAAAATGTTTCCAACTAGCAGAAGTGGAAATGCCAAGGTCCACTCTAAGCACTACCACAGGAGCAAGTCTAGGAAGCCACAGAAGCACGGAGAAGCGGCACTGGGGAAGGAACTCAACAGAATTTTTTTCTTGGAAAAGGAGTTATTTAAGCTGAAACTTGAATGATACACAGATATTATCAAGAGGAAGAGTGGGCATCTGTGGCAATAATGGTTATTTTCTAGTACTGGGGATTGAACCTAGGGATTTTGTGCAGAGCTACTTCCCCAAACTTTTACTCTTTTTATTTTTGAAATAGAGTCTTGCTAAGTTGCTAAACTGTCTGGGATGGGCTTGAACTTGTGACCCTTCTGCCTCAGCCTCCCAGAGTGCTGGGATTACATGGGGTGCTACAGCATCCAGCTGTGCCAATATTTATTCTTGAGCTACATGAATTCTACCTGGTGGTAGAATCACCACAGTCATTTAGGTGATTTTTGTTTTATTTTACTAGTATACATTTTGGCTGTTTGCAGTTTTTGCTAGTATAAATACTATTTAGAGCTGCATTTTCCATGTAATGCTGGTACATTATTTAGAGCACACCTAAATGTGTCATTCTAGTCAACAGTGGCATATTCTGGCATGTGAGAAATAAAAAAATACATCAGTAAGTACTTATTTTAATCCTATCATTTTCTAGACACACTAGCAAATGAATGAAAGGCAAATATGACAAGACCACCTCAAGGGTAATCTCTGATTTCCAAGAAACCACTAAACTGAAGAATATGACATGTATTTCTATATGATGACAGGAGTACATAAGAGGTATCCTAGCAAGACATCAATCAGTCCAATGATGGCACACCATTTCCCACATATCCTAAAAGGACTAAACTTAGTCTATTTTCAAGATCACTAAGTTCTAGAATGATTTTAGGAGCTCACAATCCCAAATCATATCATTAATGTCTAGAATTCCCACAAGAAGAAATTAAACTTTGCCTATAAATATGAAATTAAAGATTTTACAGTGAATTATTATTTTTAACAATACCTTCATTTAAGCTCATTAAAACCATGGTTTTAAATGAGTGTTCTGATATTCCTTCCTGAGTTCAGTAAGTTTCAGAAAGAGCTTTTCTTCAACAATCTGGCATTTAATGCAGTATCAGGAACATAAGCAGACTGATGTTTACATATTCACAATTTCTAAAAGCTCAAACTTTATGATAAAAGTGCTTAGTTTTCGAAGGTTTCACTCATAGAGGTAAAAACACTACTTTTTTTTTAAAGGTTGACAAATACATGTACTGCCGGTATCTTCCAAGACTGTAAATCCAGAATCCCCTAAATGATATCCAGGAACAATTAGGAGCTCTTCCTCATGCACACAGTATTAAATTGTACTGTACCAAAGATATTTCCAAACATAGTTTCAATGGTTGTACCTCACCTTTTGATTTTTCCACTTGCGGAGTTTCATCCATTTCAACAAGGGGCTTTTTGTTTGGAGGTTCTGGGGAATCAGGTGAATCTTTTATAATCTCAGCTTCAGCCAACTCTTCTTTCCCATGTTCTAAGATTCCTTTCAACCTTTTAGAGGAGCAAATAGTGAAAGGTAAAGCTAAAATTTTTAGAAGTTTACAAACACTGTCTTTGCACGTCAGCCTTGTATTTATAGAAGACAGCTTATCTCACAAGTGAGCCTAGGAACTAATCAGATGTTTCAATCTAAAGTAAGAGCTTAATGAATTAAACACAAATTTCCCTTTTCCTTCATAAAAATAATGTAATAATTTAGGAATTAGCCGACTATAAAATAGGAAAAACTAAAGAAAAACTTAAGGTACAATTAAAAAGGTGAGAAATAATGTGATCTTTAGAAGATCACAATTTTGATGACAGGGACAAACTACTACTTCAAATTACAAATAAGATTAAGTTTACTATCATTTGTTGTATAGTAGATGTACTGTGAAAATGTATTTAGGTTCCACACTTTAGGAGTTAAACTCAAAGTTTTTACTGAGTTTTATCAGGGAACAAAAACACTTTAAAATATGCAGAGGTATACTTGAAGGTCAGTGGGAGCTGACTGAGAACCTTTCTTACTTTTTTTTATAGTGAGACAATTTTGTTTCAGAAACTCAATAGCACTGAGGAAAATGCGAACTTCTCAAGTCAAAGAGAATAAAAGTAGTTCTACTTATTTATGGAAGTAATGATATGACTTCTAGAATTAAATTTCAAAAATATTCCTCAAGGCAGGTGGTAGTGGTGGTGAGGATACTTAGTGTGTTCATATATACATAAGCTGAGATCTGCCATGAATTGGTAGTCGTTAAAGGTTAGATGATGGGTATCTATTTCTTCAGTTATATATGCTTGAAATTTTCTGTAAGAAAAAGTTATTTTGTTTTTACGGGACTGACTACAGTGCCATTATAGTGTATTTATCTAGTTGTCTGCTTGATTTCTGGCAAAGTAGAAAATGTAGCCAACTGTGCTATGATATTTTTATGTACAGGTTTTTATTACTTTTCATGTTTTTTTCAAACTTAACCTTGACATCACTATAGAAATCATGAACTAAAAGAAAAGAGAAAGACTACTGTTGAGGGATGTTTTCAGAGTTAGGGCCGTATGCTCTTCCTCTGCACTCCCAAGGGCCCCTGGTGCCTAATTCCACAAAGGCACCTTTCACATTTCACTCTAACTGCTGACCTGGTTGCCTGTTTCTACCACAGCACCCTATGTTCTGCCCAGGTGGGGATCTTGTGCCAAGTGCCTGGCACATTATAGGCATTAAGTATTTACTGAGCAAACAAAAATTGTTTTTGAAATTCATAACACATAATGCACATACTGATACCAAACATCATGTACTATGATTTTCAGAAGCTAGTTAGGAAAAAGTAATGCTGTCTCTGACCCAAGAGTAAAAACTTGGACCTTTTTAAACTCAAGGAAGATCTAGACTTTAAGAGTGATAAAATTAGTTATAAAATAAACACACATTAAATGAAATCTGAGTATCTGCATGAGCTCTATGCAGAATGTGATATGTCACAATGCTGTATGTGTGATATGTCTGATGGTGTATTAAGGCCAAGAAGTTACCTCTCTGAGTCCTGCCAAGATTTTTCTTGTTCATAATCTTTCATTGCTTTTTCTGACTTGTCTTCTTTGTCCTCCCGCTTTCTCCCTCGTTTCTTTCGTTCCTCTTCCTCTGGGGGTTTGCTTCTACACGCCATCAGACATTCCAAGACTCTCTGATGTTTCTCTGAGTTGTTGATATGGGCTCTGACAAGTGTTTCTAATTCATTCCACATGATACGATATTGTTCATCTCTGCAGTAAAGATTTAAAATGACACTCTCAGAAATACTCTTTAAATAAATATTTAAACGTTAAATAATTCTGAAGTGCTACTGGCTATTAGCAAAGTAAAAGGAAATAAATAATGGACTTTACTTAACAAATTACTGGTGGAATTCTAAGTTATCATGTATCTATGACTACCATTCTGTAACTCCATCATATGTACATACGTATATATACAAACCCTCAAATATAACTTAACATGTGGAATAAGTTATTCTTTTTTTCTCTGTATTTTTCAGACAGGGTCTCACTATGTAGTTCAGGTTGGCCTTGAACTTACTATGTAGCCCAGGCTGGCCTCGAACTCACGGCGATCCTCCTGCCTCAGTTTCCCAAGTGCCGGGTTTACAGGCATGCACTACCACGCCTGGCTTGCAATAAATTATTTTAAGAAACAATATGTATCAAGTAAATGGTATGTATAAAGAAAGTAAGAAAAAAACTACCTTTTAGGGCCCTTTCCTCTTGTACCAACTGTGGAAATAGGTAGAGGATCATTTTTTCTTTCCATATCAACTAAGTTGTATATTGTTTTTTGACAGTTTAACACATCTTCTTCTGTCAAAGATTCTTTCACAATAACACTGGCTAATGGAACTACCTGTTAGATTTTTTTTTTAAAAGAAAAAAGAAAATCTGTCTTGAAAAACAAATATCAAAGCATCTAGGCAGAAGTTGATTTTAATACTGACTTGCAAGATCACCATGGTGAGGGAATCTATTAACTAATACCTCCCTTCTTAATTACTAATTCTGTAACTGTGGCAAATATATATTTCAATCTGTGCTTGAGAACTGGTATCAATTACAAATTTTCTAATTTGTTTCTACAAAAAAATATATAACTGATCTGGAAGAAACTTTTTATACTTACTGCTTGCATGTTGAAAATGGTGGTTTGTGAAATAATCATAGGCCAGTAACGGGTGTGTTTTTCTAACTGATCTTTTGCTCGTTCCAAAGGGATCTCAAGACTTCCATCGATTTTATATCTGGGGTCTAGAAAAGGAGTTAATCTGTTTTCCCTCATAAATTCACCAAAATCCTAATGATAACCAAATAAGATAAAATTAGAAACTATTTCTAATGTTTCAGTGTGGAATACATGTAACAGTCTGTTCCCCTCATGTCTTCTCTCCTGTGATTTTCAACCAAGTATTTTCTCCTAACAGTAATGTTTCTCTTAACATTTTCTTAACAAAAATCATTACTTTTTTTCCTTTTCTGAACTTGAAACCTATCAGCTTTTATAGAATGAAAATGAAGAAAGCCTCAAACATACATCCACGCATGCTACTTTTTCCATTTGAAAAACTGAGGAATATTCATTGTATTTCACGCCTGTAATTTAACTTTTTTTAACCAGATGGAAGAATGAGTTAATCACATCAGAAGACCAATTTGCTTAGTTACTCAGAAAGTAACCTGACACAACATCAAAGTGTTAACATGGGTTATCTTTGAATGGTAGAATTATAGGTAATTATAGGTAGAATTACAGGGTTTTTTTGATGTCTGTATGTTCTAAATTTTCTACAATGAATACCAATTAGCTTTCTCCTTACTAAAAGAATTTCTGAAAGAAAGAAATGTCTAATCAAAACCAATTATTTAAAAGGTACAATAATCTGCAACTTACAAAGTATAACTACATAGATAAGTCACATTTGTGGTATAAAGTATTTATACAGATAAATTACATTTAATTTTTGCAACCACCTCAAGAAGTAGGCGGTCACAAAATACCAAACATAAAAAGGAAGAATGAAAAATTAAAATCAAAACAACAGAATTTCTATCAAAAACACAGCATTTTCTTGTATGTTTCTTCCCATAATACAAAAGTTAATATATTTCAAAGTAGCAACCATCAAAATATTTAAATGTTTCTGCCTATCATTTACGTTACTAATGAAATTACATTCCATTAAAAATATTAGCTTGCAAGGACCCGAGTTCGAGCCCCGGTACAAAAAAAAAAAATTAGCTCAAATAAATTTTCCTTCTTCTCTTAAAATTCCAGTGTGTCTATATATTTCTTGGTACACACTGAATATGTAACATGGAAGTTAAGTGATATACAGGTCCTTTAAGTAAGTACTGCAAGAAATTCACTTACTTAAAATAACAAATAATATTCTTCCAAACCTACTTTTTTCAGTTCTTAGTATACAACAGGAACTCAGTAACTACCTGCTGACAGACTCAAAACATAAAATTTATAGGAAAAGCTTACTGTAATCCGGTAGTCTGTAACTCTTCCTCCACATCCTTCACTAATTGAAGGTGGATCCTCCAGAATGGATCGAGAACTGCTAAGGACATGCAAAAAAATTTCTCCTCCATGGCTACTAAGCATATGACTAATGACTTTGGAACCTGATTTTCGTGGTTGTTCCAATAAAACAGAACGACCTGTCAAAATCAAGAGTATGCTCTCAGTAACGAAATTCAAATGGGATCTTACAATTCCCCACTACTGCAAAATCAAAAAAGGCTATGTTTAGATGTTTTCATTTTATTTATTGATTTCCATATTTTAAGCAACACTGATAATTCAGTATGCTTACATTTCAATTTCTAAAAATCTGAATTCTGGCCTGAGCTTACTCTCAGATACCTCAAGATTACATAGTAAATGGGACAGTTTTCCAAAGAAAACTAGAAATCTCTGGTATGTTTACCGTATAGTTTTTTCAATTTCAAGTTCACAAAAAAATTTTCTCCTGAACATGCAAGGTGAGACAACTGGATAATTCTCTGGTTCTTACTACCCCAAAACATTTTGGGAGGAGGCAGTCTCAATGTACTTTCACAACACTGCCTCTTCAGCTCTGTTATGAGTGTGAATATTCTTTTCCATGTGTAAGATGTTGCTAAATCTGTATTTTACATAGTCTGATATTCCAAGTGTACTTAAGGTAACTTTGGACTTACACATTTTTCTTTCAAACAAAAAAGCACAGTAAAAATTACATGCTGTAATGTCGAAAATATACATATAATAAAGTACTCAAAGAGAAATAAATTCATATACTCTGTAATTTAAAATTCAGTGGCCCAAACTAAATGGCCTATATTATTCTAGGTTCCAGAATACACCAAGTTTGGCTTTAAAGGTCAAATGATTTTAATAAAAATACTTACTATATTAAAACTCACTTAGATATAATAATCTGAAAGTCAGACATAGTCATTCTTTTTAAATCTTAATAAACCTTTTAAAAGACATTTTAAATTATGTAACTTTAAAACAGCTTTGACAAATAGACTACACTGACACAAATCGGCTCATGTTCTCACTTATAATAATCTCAGTAGAATCATTAAATGATGAAAATTACCATTTAGAAGAAAGTTAGTAAGGCAGGAAGAAGGTCTACTATTTACATCTACAGGTGAAATTCGATAAGCTCCAGTACAATAGTGTAATTCTGAAATAGAAGAAAACACTGATTTGAAAGAATATAAAGAAATATTCCCACAATTAAAAGAAAATGGCTTATATACTGACTCCCTAAAACAATGAAAACAAAAAAGAAATCAGCAGATCCTCATACAATACTCTAAAGAACCTCTGCTCTATTTTTCTCTTTTCAATTATTTTAAAATACCTACCAATGTTATTTGTCCTTGGTGTGCACCACTTTAAGGTTATTGTTTCTTTAAATGGGCCTTCTCTGTTGCTGCCACCCAAGTGGGTATCACCTTTAAAAATATGTCAGAGAAACATTAACAATTTTAAACAGATCACAAGCTTCAAACAAGAATAAGATTTCAGAGCAAGTTCAAGCTCTGCTAGGGAAAATAACTCTGGGAAAACATCTTTTTTTACAAAGTACCCTAGAAAAATGCCAAATAGAGTAAGGATATTCACTATGATTAAAAGCAATAGGTAATTTCCCTCCAATTTTTTCATTAACTAATAGTTTAGGGCATTGTACTGAGAGTTAACAGAAAAAAATTTTTAAAAATTAGACATCTCCAATGATTCCTCCCTGTCCACACCATTAAATGATATAATAGCATAGTTAAACACTCTGAGAAAGCTTAAGGAATCTAAAATGTACAACTAATTATACTACTGAATCCTAAAAAATTTATTTAAGGAGGAATGTAAGGAGATACTATAGTGAGGATTTTTTGTTTTTACTTAATGAAGTCTGCAGTAGAGTACACATATGTTAATAATAATTGTAAAATTACAAAGTTGACATTATTTTGAAGAAGATAAGCATCTCTAAGAGATATCTGGCCTATTCTAATTCACCAGAAAAAAAAAGCAAAGCAAGCTCCTTTGAGAAGTGAAGATTAGTCTGAGTTCTAAGAGAATGAGTAGAAATTACCTTAAAAAAAAGAAAGAGGAAAAAGTATTAAGGCAAAGGAAATAGCAGCAGATGTCAAGATCCTGTGGCAGAAGAGGTAATATGAGAATCATCAGGTCTGCATGGCAAAAATGTGTGAAATGAGAATAGAACGGAGAAGGAGCCAGACAATGCATGGCTTCCTAGGACACTGAAAGAATTCTTTACCCTAAAGGCAACAAAAAAGTGTAGAAGGTGTAAGCTAAAGGCAACAGGGTCAAGATCAGCATTCTGAAAGTTCATCTAGCAATAGGGAAAAGAGCAACTACAAACAGACCATCAGGAGGCAATTCTGGGATGCTAGGTAAGAAAACAGTAAGGCTTCATTAGGCAAATGATAATGGTAGTGGGGATGCAGATGCAAATATATTTGAGAGATAGTAGATGAAATCAAGAAACTGTGATAATGACTTAGCTATGCAGACTGACAAACATGTTTCAAAGATGATTCAGAGGTTTCTGCTGCATATGACTGCATAGACAACCGGACTGTTCACAAAAAGGGAACATTAAAAGACCAGTTCAAGGGGCAAAGCTCCTAAGGTGTGCTGGACATGCTGAGTTTAAATCCTGAGTGACATCGACGAGATAGAATCAGGCACTAGAATATACAGATCGGGAACTATATCTGGGCTCTAGTATAAGTCCTCTACTCACCAAGATCTAGCTGTGCTGCTAGCTCCTCAGGGAGGCCTGACCAACTCTTAGAGACATACTCAAGCACGTGGAGCCTCCTCTACAAATCAGGTTAACTACTACGTTAGGGAAATACTTTGTATTAATGAGGATTTTTTAAAAAACATTTTAAGTTTCAAAAATAAATAAAAATCACCTCACAGGTTCTTAGCAATAAATTATACTTTCAAAAACAAGTTCTCTACATTCCTTTATTAAACATGATGCACTTATCACAATAGTTTTCTCCCTCTGTTAGCAACTCCTCAGGTGACTCCCAAAACTCCATAGACATGTAAAATGTTATGTAAATGTTATGTAAAAAAAATGTTATGACTAGCTCTTAATTATAATTCGGAATAGATGCACACAACATAATTTAAGTGAGCCATTTAATTTTGTGATAACATCAATCTACATAGAAAACATCATAAAGGATTTAACCAAATGTCAAAGCTCAAAGGCTCTGAAAATAAACTTCAAATTTTAAATTTTCTTTGAATTTTAGGATTCAACGGAGTATTACAATTCATCTAATCCACCATCTTTCATTATAAGTACCCAAACTGAAGTCTAGAAACATGGAACTTGCCAGCTGGTAGCAAAGCTTTAGCTAAAGCTCTTATATTCTAACTCTAGAGTCTTCTCCCCAAAGCCATGCCAGTATGATTGTAGAAACTGTGGTTCTGGGGATGAGACATATGGACTGAAAAAAACTTTAGAGGAAAAAAACTAATTTAAATTTCAAATTTTTTATTCAAGTTAGCTGTAATATATATCATTCTTTCAAGGCTGCTCTTACTTTTCCCTGTACCAATATTGTTTGCTTAAGGGAGAGAAAAAACTCTTATGCTTGACAAAGAAATGATGATCTCTCTCAACACAGTGGTACCTCAGTTCCCAAAGGCTTTTGTTTGTGAACAATTTGGTTCGCAAATAGAAGCTTTTGGCAAAATTTTGTTTTTGTTTGTGAACTCTGCATCGGGTGACAAACACGACCGATCATCTTTCTCACACAAACAAGAATGTGACCATCTTTTCCAGGATCACAGAACAAATTACATTCACAAACCCAGGTACCACTCACTGTATCTGCCCCATCAGCCTAGTCTTCCCAAAAGTACTATAAATCATGCAGAACACTAGTTCTGTGACCATTAATAGATGATACTGTCAGACAGGTTTGGAGAGAATGACTGAAGTCATTCAGGTCTGTTTACTGAAGAACTTCTCAGAAGTGTTAATATCCTTTTATATCTTAGATCTTACAAAAAACATTACTTCCAAACATCTCTTACCACTCTTCAGAAAATCTACATGTGCATCTTTGTGATGAAGCAGTTCCACATCATAATTGGCAGATGTGTTAGCATGTTGTTCTTCCTTTAAGCAAAATTGAAAACATTTACAATAACTTGGTTTTGCTTTCAAAATAATGAGATGAATTATTCATTTTGCTTTTTGCTTAAACCGAGGTCAAATACATTCAACCATAATAAACTAAACTAATGGGATAGTTTGCTCAGTAATTAATCTATTTAAAGATGCAATAGTTTTCAACAGCACTATGAAAACTACTTAAAAACTACTCACAACACATATATGTAAAATATTTAATGATTTTCTTATATTATGTCAGAATTAACAAAATTGACTAATCCAAAAATTTTGGAGTTTTTTTTTTTTTACTCCAAATGTATTGTCTTTCCATTACTTTCTATATATCAATATAGTATAACTGAAATAATGTATTTAAATTCAAAGTAAACTGTTAAAAAGAGGGAAACAGCATCTTTAAATACCTGCAGTGAAGCAATTAACATCAGTGATATAAAATAGCAAATACAAACTAACAGACAAGTTTAACAATGTGTTTTCACAAAATAAATAGGAACTTCAAAATTATCTATTTACTAAAAAGACAAAGATTGACAGTCACACCAGAACAGACAAATTCAACAAGCAAGTCCTTTATGACCCTCATTATATTTTTCCTCTAACTCATTAAAGTAATGAATTATATATAAAGTACACATACAATAGTACATGGCATATTATTTTCTTTGTTAATTGCTTCTGCATTCAAAGGTTTAAGATAGGTCTACAATTTCTAGTAAACAACCAGCCAATGGAATTAGAAGGAAATACATAATGAAATAGTTATATTTAGCATGTAATTTAGTGTTCATGGAGGAGCAGCAAAAAATTGAAACTGGACTACAGGAAAGCCAATGTAAACTTTTAGGTACAGCAGTTACTTGTTTTAGATATAATCAATACAATTATATTCAATTCTACTCAGTAACAATTCTCCTAAAGCTCACTATGAACCAGGCATTGTGCAGATATTAGATAGCTCAATGATAACACGATGAAAATGAACAGGTAGCAATAGATTCCTAAGAAAATCCATTTGTAAAAAATCATAGGAGTCACATCTATGGTTTTTCAGCTACAATGTAATAAATTAAAAGCTATGAGCCATTTTTCTGTACTTAGACCTATTAGTTATAAACACTGTTGTAGTGGGTGGGCAAGAACAAAAGTATAGAAAATAAAAGATCCACTAGAATACATAAAGTAAAATATAATACTACAAGTGTCATGAAAAAGAATCACAGAAAAATAATTTAAAACACAGGTTACATTTTGATGAAAATAATTAGAACATAATTTTTTTTTAAAATACCCTTCTACAGCATTTTCTTATTAGAAATAAAAATGAATTTTGTTCTGTGATCCTTTCTTGTTGCTTTTCAGTATTACTGACCTGGTCAAAGACACTGAATGTGGGCTAGCAAAACAGAAAATACGGTATGGGAAGAAAAAGTAAAGTTCAATTAAAATAAATAATATACATCAAAACAAATATTTACAAAGCAAAGTAGAACTTTCAAAATAGCAAGGACAAGGACTGCCTACCTTCATTGGAATATTTGTAATAGTAGTTGAAGCCAAGTCGAAATGTTGCTGTACTAAAATATTCAATTTGGTAGCAAGATGCCGTCCTGCACGAACACTATGAACTTCGCTGGTTAAAACTGGTGACAGCTACAGAAAAGAATGCAAGAAAAATAACTCACAAAACATTAATTCATTGTAACTTAGTAAATATCTTACTGTAATCCAGTAAAAAATGTGCATTTTTGCCAGGGATTTAGCTCAGTGGTTTCGCTGCCTGCTGTGCAAGCACAAGGACCCGAGTTTGATCCCCAGTACCAAAAAATAAATAAATAAATAAATAAAATGAAAATAAAGAAAGGGGAATCACAATTTTTTTAAAAATGTGTATTTTTATTTTTTAGACTTTTTGAGAGTGGGTCCACAAATTAACCATAATTATTTTCAGAAAATATTTTTATAGTATCATTCACTGAACATATACATACTAATCAGTTTTTACTAAATTATAAGCCAGAAACTGTGTGAGCCCTGAATAATACAATAGTAAGTAAATATAGTCCTTGTCCTCTTGAAACCTAGAGTAGAATAGTCCCTGATTTAAATATTTTTAAATTTAGATTTTGTACTTCTATTTATCTACATGCAAAATGGATTTTAAGTAGCTTACAGAAAATACTGTAGAAAAAATTCATTTTGTGGAGGGTACAAAAACCCTTCAGATAAAAATTAAAGAATGTGAAAATCAACAGAAACATCTCATTTTATCACCACTAAAAAAGATAAGGCAGTCAAAAGTTACTTATAATAAGATAAAAATTTTCTCATTCCACAATAATATTTATCATAAATAAACTTAAAACACAAGGGCAATGACTTAAAATATCACTTAATTATAAAACTTCACAGACTAAGATAATACTGGACATGGTTATATTAAAAAAAGTATAAAATGAAGCTCCAGAGCATAAAGAACATATACATTTGATATAACTATAAAAACTGAAACATCTGTATTTTTATTTCTTTTCTTTTTTTTCAGTACTAGGGATTGAACTCTGGGCCTCACACATGATAGGCAAGCGCTATACCACTGAGCTACATCCCTACCCTCTTTAAGACAGAAAATATGATAGGGGAAGAAAAAGTAAAGGTTCAGTTAAAATAATACATATCAAAACAGACATTTAGAAAGCAAAGCAAAGCTTTCAAAATAGCAGGGACAAAAACTGCCTGCCTTCACTGCAGTACCTGTAATAGCAGTTGAAGCCAAGTTGAAATGTTGCTGTACTAAAATATTCAATTTGGTAGCAAGATGCCGTCCTGCACGAACACTATGAATTTCACTGGCTAAAACTGGAGACAGCTTTGTTTTAAGAGAGGCTCTCACTAAGTTCCCTAGGCCAGCCTTAAACTTGCCACCTTCTTCCCTTAGCCTCCCAAGTAGCTGAGTTACAGGAGTAGTCACTGCGCCTGGATGTATTTCATAACCCAGACTACTGATAGAGAATAACATGATGTGGATCCCTTACACAATCAACAGAATCATCTCCTTTAAGACTGTTTAAATCTATTTAAAAAGTAAAAAGTAAGGTTGGAAACTAACTCCCTCCCTGAAGCGTGTAAAAACTAGCTTCTTTGTGATAAAAAAGATTTTTATATAATTTTAAACGGTATTAAAATAACTGAAATTCAGTAAAGTACTTAGAAAGAATGCAAACTAGCCAGGCATGGTATTGCACACCTGCAATCCCCGATACTTGGGAGGCAGAGGCAGGAGGATTACAAGTTAGATGCCAGTTTGGGCAATTTAGCAAGACCCTATGTCAAAATAAAAAAGGCTGGGGATGTAGCTCAGTAGTAGAATGCTGCTGGATTTGATTGCTAGCAATGTAAAAACAAAAATAACTGTGTATGGTTTTGCAACACATAATTATTAAAAGAAATACCAATAGCCAAGCAAAACAGAAAACACTTCGAAAACTATTAATTCTAAGTCTTTATCACCCTAAATGTTTCCCACATGTTTGCTTTGAAACTTTTAAATATCTTAACAGAAAATATTGGCAATGTGATCATTTTAATAATAAACTTTTTCAGCATTCATTAACTGTAACTTACAAATATCTTTTCTTTAATACTTCTACACTTACCTCTTTTTTAGGACGATCAGATACAAGGCTGTCTTCACCAACTGGGTAGGTATGGATCAAGACCAACTCACATTTCTGAATCTGCATGAGACTTAAAGAGAAAATTTTCATTTAATAAATATCATATAAACAATTCAGGCAGGTAAACTACTAAGAACTTACTATACCAGAACAGTATATTGCTAAAACTAGCTGTTGCTGTTAACACAAAAGCTAACTACGTGGTATATAATTGTTATATTCAGATGAACACTTAACAAATAAATATATAAATTTAATTCACATGGAAAAATGATAATTCTATGTGTGCATAAAGGATAAAAAATAAAGGGAATATTTTTATAATATTCAGTAATTACCATAGACAATGAATATATCATGCACTAATTTCCCTTTTATTAATAAGTTTTTAAGGACAAAGTCAGGCAACAATAACCTAAAGAGTCAGAGAATTGTTTGGCATAGGGAAAAACTCACACATTTGATCACACACAAATACTAGTATGAATACAGAGGAAAAAAGAGTTTTCCTTTTCAATAGTTTTTAATTTTTTTGTTTTTTAGACAGGGTCTTGCTCTGTAGTTCAAGTTGCCCTTGAACTGACTCTGTAGACCAGGCTGGCCTTGAATTTGTGGCAATCCTCCTGCTTTCAGCCTCCAGAGCACTGGGACTACAGGCATGTGCCACCACAGCTGACCCACCCTTTTCAACAGTTTTTAGTTTTTTAAACTCACCATGTTTTGATTTGGTATACACTGAAAAATGCCACAAAAAATGCCATAAAATTATGATACAGATTATGAGAATAAACCATCAAAACAAATGTATTATAAACTTATTCTTTATTATTCTGATCATCTTATTTATTTATTTATTTACTTGCACTACTAGGGACTGAACCCAAGGCTATAACACAAAGCTCATTTTTTATTTTGAGACAGGATCTCACTTAAGTCACTAAGTTGCCTAGGCTTGGCTTGTACTTGTGATTGTCCTGCCTCAGCCTCCCAGGCTGCTGAGATTACCCATTTGCACCACCACACATGGTTCTGATCACCTTTTCTCTGGGGACAAAAAGTAAAATTCTGAAGTACAAGGGGAAATGGAAAAAAAAGAAAGCTTCTAATCAAACTTACACTTTTAGGCAAATTTGTTGAGTCAGTAGAAAGTTTAAGGAACTATATAATCACATTAAAATTATTTGAAATAATTCTAATAAACACATATAATATGAAGTTAAAGGCATTTACTTCATTTATGGATTATACTCACTGATCTGAATTTGCAGCAAGCTTGTTATGTTCATGAATTGTTTCCTGGACACAGTCTTCAAGCATGCGTACATGACTATCACTATGGCGTAAAAAAGACATAGCAAACTTAAAGGAACAAATAGCAAGGAAAAAAATAAGACACTATTCAGTTGCACCATCTTAGTATAGCTATTTAAAATTACTTCAATAAGGAATGTCTTTACTGTGCTCATTGACAATACCAAATAACTAGTTGAAAACTAGACAGAAAAAAATAGTCAAATTGATTAACATGATGATAATCTTAAACAGTTTTCACTGAGATGATTCTTTAGAAGTGATTAACACAGTCTCAATATTAAAGGGGCAAAGAGCAAGGACCTGAGTTCAATCCCCGGTACCAAAAAACTAACTAACTAAATAAATAAAGTATTAAAGGGCAAAGAAGAAAAAAACCAGAAAGGCCACTTGGAATATGTTTAAATGTTTAATCTTGTCCTGCTTTGTAAAATAAAAAGCACAAGAGGAATTTAAAAATTCCATCAGTGAAAGAATTATTGTGATTAATATCTCACCTTTTTGCATTAGTAATGCAGATTATTCGCCCTCTATTTCCAACACGTTCTGCATTCTCCATAAGTAAAGTACGGGCTTCATGCTGATATTCGGTGATTTTGCAGAGAGTTTCCACTGCTGCAACAAGACCATGCAGAATACTACAGCACTCTGGATCTGCCCGAGGGTTAGGAGGCCCGACAGCAGCTAATGCTGCCATGAGCTAAGCAGAAGCAAAGACAGTTATGTTGACAAAACATTCACACGTCAGATGAAAACATAACAAGAAAATTATGAACCAGTATATCTTAAGAATACAGGCACACTGGGGTGGGGGATTTAGCTCAGTGGTTTTGCCGTGTGCAATGCAAGGACCTGAGTTTGATCCCCGGTACCAAAAAAAAAAGGAATACAGGGACAAACAACCTGAAGAAAATGCTGGCAAACCAAACCTAGAAACATCCAATTACACTTGGTGGAATTATAACAGTGACCAAATGGGATTTGACTCAGGAATACAAAGTTGATTTCATATCCCAAAATTAATTAAGACATATCAAAGGAATAAAAAAAATCAAAAAATCATCTCCATGTCCAGTCTTACCACTTTATTCAACACTGCAGTGTGGGTTCTAGCTAGAACAATTAGGAAAGAAAAAAAAAAGAACCTAGATTAGGGCCGGGGATTTAGCTCAGTGGTTTCACTGCCTGCTGCACAAGTGCAAGGACCCAAGTTCGATCCCTGGTACCAAAAAAAAGAACCCAGATTATTAAGGAAGAAACAAAACTCCCTATGTTGCAGAAAACATGATCTTATATAAAGAAAATCCTGAAGAATCCACTAAAAAAACTATTAGAACTAATAAACCAGTTCAACAAGGTTACAGGTGAACCATACTAAAATATTAATAAAATAATTCTATTTGCAATAGCCCCCCCAAAGAATAAAATACTTGGGAATAAATTTAACAAAAGAAACACAAAACATATTCTGAAAACTGTAAAACATTGTTGAAATCAAAGATCTAAATAAACAAATTTCCCATGTTCATGGATTGAAACACTTAACATTGTTAAGATAATAATACTATTCAAACTGTAGACTCAACATAGTTCCTATCAGAATCTCAGCTGACTTCCTTGTAGATTTCTGCAAAGCTGATTCTGCTGATCAGCTCGCAAACTGATTATAAAATTCCTATGAACTACATGGGACCCAGAATGGCCAAAACAATCCCCAAAAAGAACAAAGTAGGAGGAATCACATTATCTAACTTAAAGGCTTACGACAAAGCAATGGGGATCAAGGTGTGGAACTAGCACAAGGACAGGTAAATGGGACAGAATTAACAGTTTAGAAGTCATCTATGGTCAATTGATTTTCAACAAGCATACCAAGACCATTCAATGAAGTAAAGAATAGTTTTATTTTATTTTGTTCTTAACAAAATCACGGTAGGAGGATGCAAAAGAATGAAGCTGAACTCTTGCCTCAAATTTTGCATTAAAGTTAAGGTGGATCAAACTAAATTTAAGAGGTACAACTATAAAATTCAAAGGAGAAACATAGTGTTAAATCTTTATCATCTTGGATCTGACAAGACTGTCAACTATGAGACCAAAACCATGAACAAAATAAAAATAGGTAATTTAGACTCGATCAAAATGAAAAGATTTTTGTGCTTGAAAGGACACTATCAAGAAAGTAAAAACAATTCAAAGCACTGAGAATATACAGAAATCAGAGATTTAATCAGGGACTTGTTATCCACAATATATAAAGAACTCTTACATCTCAATAATAAAAAGACAAACCAACTAAAAAGTGAGTAAAGGATGTTGAGTAGACATTTCCCCAATGAAGATAACCAAATGGTCAGTAAGCACATGAAGAGATACTCAACATCATTAACTATTAGGGAAATGCAAATTAAAAACCACAATGAGGTAACAATATACTCACTAGGTTGTCTAGAATTTAAAAATTGGATAATAAATATTGGTAAGGATATGGAGAAACAGAAATCTTCACTGACTGCTGGTAGGCATGTAAAATGGTGGACCACATAAGCAAATAGTTTGGCAGTTCCTCAAATATTAAATAGAGATAATGGTAAGCTATTCCACTAAGTAGATACCCAAAAGAAATGAGACATAATTTTCACACAAATACCTGTATATATGAATGCTTATAGCTGCACTGTTCATAACAGACAAAATGCAGAAACAATCCAAATGTTCATCAACTGACAAAAAGATAAATAAAATACGATATATCCATGTAATGTAGTATTTTTCAACCATAAAAAGAACACGGCTGAACAGTGAAAACATTGTGAATGCTAAGTCAAAGAAGTCAGTCACAAATGAGCCCATATTGTATGAATTCCATTCATATGAAATGACTCAAATGGAGAAAATCTACAGTGGTTGCTTATATCTGAATAGTGTGGGAATGTAACATCATAGATATAAGTATAGCGGATTTTTTTAAGGTGAAAATTTATTCAAAAATTGGCTGTGGTGATTGTTGTACATATCTTTGAATATATTAAAAATTGCTGAATTGCAAGGTATGTCCATTATAATCAATAAAGCTGTATAAAAAAAGAAGAGTATGTGTGCAAGACATAGTGACCTCTTAGGAGGATGGACAGAAGGGTTGCTTAGTCAGGGAGTTCACAGCCAGCCTAGGCAACATAGTGAGATTCTGTCTGGGGTGGGAGCAATGAATGAGAGGGAGAATGACAGAGAGAGCGAGAACTTTACAAACTTTAAAACACTTGGGAGACTGAGGCAGGAGGATTCTGAGTTCAAGGCCAGCCTGAACTACATAGTGAGATCCTGTCTCAAACAACAACAACCAAACCAACCACTACAATCTCATGTTATTTTTGCCTCCTACTCTCCAATCCCACATATTCTCAGGAATGGAAAAGGACACACAGAATTCTCATGGAATATATTCTACTAACATAAAATTTATAAATTTATCTGATATTTTGAATATCCATGAGATGCAATATTATAGCAGAATACCTTAAAATGCTCAAACGATTTATAAAATGTCAATATAAGGCATAATGAGCAATATATTCCTAGCCTACCAATCATCTTATTCCATATTAAATCATTTTCAAAAACGTATTTGACATCTTCCCTCCAATAAACAAAAACATCAAGAGGCGGAACAAGATGATTGTGGAGCCCTCCAACAAACTCTCCCAACAGAATCATCAATGTGAATGCAAGAACCAAGGAAGCCAGGTGACAGTTCACTATAGTTGATTTTAGCACAAAAACAAAAGATGCATTGAAGTCAGGAAGGAAAAAGTTGCCCACATCAACCTTCTGCTAACTTCCAAGTAACACACCCTGGAGAAAGATTCTTCCCACTTGAGAAAAGGAGAGAAAATTAAGTACAGGCCTCAGACTTGGAACCCAGTAACAGGCCTGCGATGGTAAAACCCAGTACCAGGCAGTCACTTGGCTCCTGATGTAGGTCAGTGTCTGAGGGCAGAGCCTATTCTCCTGTATTAGCCTGGTTAATGAGTACTAAGTTATAGCTAGATAGGAGCAAGAAGTTCTAGTATTCAACTGCTCACTAGAATGACTACTGGTGATTATAATATAATATAGATATACATATATGTATATATGGACAAATTCAAAATCTTTTTGTTCTAGATATATATGTATACATATATAATATACATATATAGTAATTATACATACATATACATATACATATCTAGAACAAAAGGATTTTGAATATTTTCATCATAAAGAAATGACTAAATGAGGAGACAGGTATGTTTAACCTGAATTGAACATCATTTATCAAAACATCACACGGTACCCCATTAATATCTACAATTTTCACGTATCAGTTAAAAACCAATAAAAATTTTAAAAAATTTAAGAGCACTGATCTATAGTGTTGTCAACTTCTAGTACTCTCATCATGGCCTATTTCTCACTACTAATGCCATGGCGCTAATGAGACGCTGGTTAAGTGGTGCTCAGACTCAACTCTCAAAGTGGTCTGAGCACCACTCACCATCCCAGGGGATGGGAAGTAGGAAACGTTTCAAGGTATACCTTGTGTGCATACACTTCTGTGCAGGTATGGATACTCAAAAGATGTATTTTGAAACTAGGCAGATATTACCTATCCATAAAAAAGTAACGAAAACGCACTGCTTATAAAGTACTATGTGTAAAGTCCCTGTTACTTAGGAGAAGCTCAATAAAAATATATTTTTTTGGAGTGGGAATATTGTGGTCCTAGGGAAAGCGGCAGAAAGAAAGACTAACTTTTGGAGTTTGAAAGATATGGATTGAAATCCTAGCTCTGACTTTTATCAGCTGTGTGTCCCTGGGTCAATTTCTTCTGTCCTCTTTCCTAATCTGAAAATTAAAAAATCATAACAGAACCTGTCTCACATTAGTGTGAAATTTTCAAACTTTAATTTAAATCTATAAAAACAAGAGCAAAACTCCTAAAGTATGACAATGTTTTATAATAAAATCTAAGGCGTATAGAACAGAGTTGTCTGGTATAATGTCAAGAGCCTTGGACCTATGTATCGAAGCCAAACAACACCTGGCCACTGCAGGCTTCAGTTTCTTCACCTGCATGAGAAAGGAACTGGAGCAAAGGATGTCTAAGAGCGCTCTAGCCCAAATGTTCTGAAATCAGTGTAATTACTTGTTACTAAAGACTGCTGATAACTAGGGAAAGCTGTGCCATGGATAACCAAGGCTGACATGAACTCCACATAATTTACACAAAATTTCAATTCTTTTGTATCTTCTTTAACACCAGTGATTTGCTATATAGTTGCATTTGTAAGTGGAGTGTCCTCCTGACAGCAATGAGTGTGATATAATGTGCCTTTACCTCAAAAGTACTAGTATTTATTTTATGATCACACTTATCAAATATGCATCTTTACTGCATGGATGGGTGCAAAAAGGAAGATTTGTAGAAATTTGGGCTTACTTTTATTCACATGCAGCAAGAAAGGCTTCAAGCGCCTTTCATGGTATTTCCAAAAGACAGTACAGGAAGAATGTACAGAATCCTTAAAATTATTTTTTCAAAGAATGAAAGAATATTAAGAATATTCCGTAATGATAAACAGTATAGAGCCAAGACAGTAAAACCCTACAACCCTGAATGACTTATCGAAAAGGAATGAAAGGTTGGATATTTTTATAGGCTATAATACTAATCACAAACATCTCAAGACCAAACACTGTTATACAAACATTTTCTTTAGAAGTATTCTAGGCTGCCTCCACTGGGAGGCCCGGGAGTACCAGGAGGCCCAGGCTGTGGGTGGGATCCCTGTGGGAGCTTCGGAGCAGGTGGAGGGTAGGGATGGAGCCAGGCAGAGGGGCCTGAGGCAAATGGGCACTGAACACCGCAGGCCCACTGGCTGCAGACATGGCTCACTTCCAAAGCTTCCCTAACGGCACTCGAGGGACCCTGAGGAGCTCTTCACCAAGCTAGACTGCACTGACAAAGGCACATTTGGGGAAGTGTACAAAGGCATATTTGGGGAAGTGTACAAAGGCATCAACAACTACACCAAAGAGGAGGTGGTCATCAAGATCATCAACCTGGAAGAGGCTGAGGACGAGATCAAGGACATCCAGCAGATCACCATGCTCGGTCAGTGGGACAGCCCCTGCATCCCCACTATATCAGCTCCTACCTAACGAGCACCAAGCTGTGGATTATCATGAGTACCTGGGCAGTGGCTCTGCCCTGGACCTGTTGAAATCAAGCCCCCTGGAGGAGACCTACATTGCCACCATCCTGTGGGGGATCCTGAAGGGCCTGGGCTACTTGCACTCAGAGCACAAGATCCACTGCGACATCAACTAAAGCCACCAATATGCTGCCCTTGGAGCAGGGAGACATGAAGCTGGCCAACTTCGGGGTGGCAGGGCAGCTCACCCACATGCAGATCAAGAGGAGAATGTTCATGGGTGCCCCCTTTTGGGTGGTGCTGGAGGTCATCAAGCAGTTGGCCTAACTTCAAGGCCAAAAGGGCCATCGAACTGGCCAAGGGGGAGCTGCCGAACTCTGACCTACACCCCATTCATGTCCTGTTCCTGATCCCCAAGAACAGCCCACCCGCGCTGGAGGGCCACCACAGCAGTGCCTTCAAGGAATTTGTGGAGGCCTGCCTCAACAAGGACCCCTGATTCCGGCCCACAGCCAAGGAGCTCCTGAAACCCAAGCTCATCACGCACTACACCAAGATGACTTCCTTCCTTATAGAGCTCTTCGACCACTACGAGGGCTGGAAGTGAGAGGGGCATGGTGAGGAGTCCAGCTCCGAGGACTTGGATACAGATGGCGAGGGCAAGGAAGGGGAACAGGGAGGGCTCTATCTGAACATCACCCCTACCCCAACCATCTGGCTGAGCCCATGCAACAGGCTGCACTAGGGAATGGCCCTGTACAGCTCTCCCAAGCCTGTGGACCCTATCAAGACAAGAGACAGCCTTGCTCCCAGTGCCTGTTCGCACTGGTCCAGCCTGTCTTTGGAGAGCTGAAGGGGAAGCAAGGCAGAGCGGCAGCAGTGTGGGCACGCTGGAGGAGCTGGAGAACCCCTCAGCCTGGCCCAGTAGTACTGCCCTGGCATCTCAGACCAGCTCATGGTGCGCCTGGTGAGTGTGTGCAGAGGTTCTCACACAGCACCAAACACGATGCTCAGCCACTGAGCATGCTGCTCTCTGTGGAGAAGGCGGAGTGTGCTCTGCTGCTGTGCTGAGCGTGGAAACAACCATGACTTGGAAGTCTCCCACCCTGTACTCATCAGCCCGGGTCTTCAAGAACTGGGTCGCCTTCCCACCCGGCACAGTATTCAGTGTCCCTCTCCCCACTGGCCAGAGCTGTGCCGGCAGCAGAAGCCACAAACAAGCTTCCACTGGAAGCCACAGGGCTGTCTCAGGCTTCCCCCAAAAGCAGCCCTGTGGCTGCCAGGCCAAGGAGCAGAGTGAATGGGCAGCTCTGCCCGCTTCCCTCAGGTGGGTTGGGGCAACAGGCCAGTCCCTAGAGGAGCACCCCAGCCCACCTTCCTCTCCCTCCTACCCTGGTGGCCCAAGATGGCTCTAGATCATCTGCACTGTGGTGTCAGATCAGGTACTGTGTTTTTTCATAAGTACTTACGTCATCCCAAATGTGTTTGTAAGAAAACTGAACTGTTTCAAAGAAAAAAAGTATTTGGCCAGGGATTTAGAACAGTGGTTCCAGTGCCTGCCTCACAAACCCAAGGTCCAAAGTTCGATCCCTGGTACCAAAAAAAAAGAAAAGAAAGTATTCTAATAAACTCACATTTGATGGGAGTTATTTTCACTGAAGAGCACCCATTACCGGACAAAATTTTTGTTTGTTTTGAGACAGGGTCTTGCTTTATAGCCCAGGCTGGCCTCAAACTAACGGTGATCCTCCTGTCTCAGCCTTCTGAGTGCTGGAATTACAGGCATTTGCCACCACGCCCCGTGTAACAGACAAATTTTAACATGAAATAATTGAAATTCAAATCATGTATTTAAAAATTTCACTAATCCCTACCTCTCATTCATATGAAGATTCCAGGAGACTGAAGTCTTCAACAGACAATAGCAAACATAAGCTATCAGAAGGTCAATATTCTTAAATAATGTTAACAAAATATAAACAAGTTTGAGTGTATTTCTGCTCCCTTCACTAAGACCACAGTAAAATAACTTTAAAAAGCAAAAACCCACAGATGAAGAAAATGGAAGAGGTGACAATAACAAACATGAGATGAGAGATGTCAACAAGAATTATAAAAATGAATGAGGAAATGGTAATGAACTTAATAGGACTGAACATTCTAAAGTCTAAGTGCCTACAGAAGAATAAAAAGGCAAGAAGATACACCGCACAGAATCTAAGATAAGTCTGAGAACTGGAAGCACCAAGTACTGCACAAAACAAGGGTGGAACAAGATACAGAAAACTATGAATAGCTTGAAGTCAAAACGAGGCACAATGTCACTGCAGATCTTACACCCTAACCCGGGCACGTGACTACCTCTTCCTGACTGCAAGACACAGAATCACATTACTTGAACCAGAAAGATATCAGGCACAGCACAGAGTAAGGTTAAGACGCCAGGCTGGCACTGCCCAAAAGAACTTTCTGTGATGATGGAAACGTTCTCTATCCTATGCAGTACAAGAGCCACTATCTATGTGTGGCTTGTTAAGCATCTGAAACATGGCTACTGCCATAAAGGAAGTAAATTTTTACTGTATTTAATTTTTAAATTTAAATACCCACATGTGGCTAGCAGCTACTATAATGGAAAGCAAAGTATGAGACCAGAAACAGAAAAATTAAATACAATCTGAATATCTGCCTACTGAACCATAGAACTTACCCTAGCCTTTCCCACCCTGAGGGCTGACACCCGAGTTTATAGCACACAGGTAGAGGAGTGGAAGATCTCTGGAGACCCTGAATAGTCCCAGAAGGATGATCTACTGACAATGACATCTGGTGCTTCCTCAGTGAAAATAAGTGGTTTAAAACACAGTGAAACCCAGTCAGCAATACCTACCCTACGACACATAGGATTTTCTAATCTGCTATTTAGTGTCTTGCTTTTAAATAAGATTGCACAGCCAAATGTCAGAAGTCATCTTTTAAAAAGCCTCAGCACAAAAAGAATTTTGAGAAAAGAGGGATCAAAACAAAATTTCAAAGACACCATAACTAATACCCTTGGGTACAAAAAAAATTCCACCCATGAAACAAAAAAGGGTGTCACAAAAATGATACAATTAGAGAATAAGTTCAATTTCTTACAAATTAAACATACAACCAAATAAAATTTCCATATTAGGGCTAAAAAGTTTAAAAACTAGAATAACAAAAAGATGCTCCATGATAAAATTAAGAAATTTAACTCAGGAAGTTCAACATACCACTAATAGTTATTCTAGAAAGAGACAGGATACAGGTAAGATCATTATCACAGACACAACATGAAAGTTTTTCTGAACTAAAATTTCCTGCACAACGGAAGAGGAAAGATCCACTAAAATTTATCACCGAAAAAGCTCAGAACAAAAAAGTGAAAGAAAAGCCACTAAAAGCTTTCAGAAATTATGAAGAAGACTGATAGGACTTCTCAATAGTACCACTGGAATCTGTAACACCAAGGAATGATCCCTTACAACGAGAAAAAGTTATTTCCAAGGTGGAACTTCTGTACTGAAAACAGCAAGAGGACATGAAAAACACAGGACAACAGCAGTCAGTGGGTCTAGAGAGCAACCAGTTCTGATTGTGCTCCAAAAGGCTATTTTCACTGCTAAATTATCTAACACAGCTGTGATCAAAATACTGAGCCCTTTTAAAGAGACACAAGGAAAAGCACTAACAGATATTCAGAAAACTAAGCCCATGTTGCCAGAAAAGGAAATGATAAATTCCAGTAATAAATAAAAATTTGAGCAAAGAAATATTCATGTATACTGTTCGGCACAGCTGTCAATAACATTTTATATGGACATTATAATGCACATACGGAATTCTGAACAAACCAGAAACTATGCTACAACAATTCTGAGAAGACGAGGAAAGGGAAAGGCAAGGGCGAGGGAGAAATATAAAAGAAGTAAATTCTCACCAACAATAATGATAAATAAAGTTTAAATCAAGAACTCAAACAGGAATAAAAGCATGTTTGGAAATTATACTTAATATGCAAGTAAATACTGGGACAGCTAGAGTTAAAATTTACTTGGGAATGAGGGGGAGACTACAATGAAAACCAGCTGTTTTTCTTTTTCTTTTTTTGGTACCTAGGATCGAACTCAGGACCTTGCACTTGCAAGAACAGATGTTTTTCTTAATGTAACGGGACTTTAAAAACTATGTGCAAATACTACCTGGATAAAAAACACTTTAAATCATTTTTCAGAAGTTTTATGACATTTAGAAAATTTCCAAAAATAGACACAGCTTAAAAACTACCCATACCTCCTGTAAATTCTGGTCTTCTTGAGTCCAAGAATTTAAAACATGTGCTCCAGAGTCACTCACGATGAAATTCACCTAATAAATGTCAAAGGGACAATTAGTATACAACGCTAATTTTACTTAAACATCATATTTTAAAATTATATGCAATTTCTAACTCTGGTTTGCTGTTTGATGCATTCATTTTATAGCTACAGAATGCCTAGTACATGACAGGTGCTATTCTAAGAATGGCACTGGGGCTACAGAGATGAGCCCCTGCAGTGATGAGTGAAACAGTTCTGTCACAAGGTACAGGAAGTCAGGGCTGGGGAGTGTGATAACACAGAGGGCACTGTAGGAAGAATACAAATAAATCAATAGGATCATTTCAGAGAGTGATAAATGCTAGGAAAAATAATTTGGTTTTAGATTGAGCAGTCAGAGATGGTTTTCTCTGTAAAAGAGGCACTGAAGGACTCCAAAACGACCAAAGGAAACCAGTCACTGAAAAAGCCAGGGACAGAAGACTCCAGACACAACAAAAGCAGATGCAAAGGCCACAAGTGTACAGCCTCAAAGGGGTAAACATCAGAGCAGGCAGAGAGGTAGGAGTTAAGCTCAAAGGGTATTGAAAGCCATCGAAAACAATGAAAATCAAATAATGGATATGGATTGTATTCTAATTTTTAAGGTAAAGTCCAAATAAAAAATACTATCAGGGTTGGAAAATAACTGGTACAGTGTTTGCCTAGCATGTGTGAGGCCCTGAGTTTGATCCCCAGCACCACAAAAAATAAATAACAAGTAACGCCAGGTAAGGTGATAATGATAAGGAATATATTAGAAAATATATCAAATGATGACGACTATGTTCCTTTTTGGGAAAAGGAATAAATTTATTTCTTCCCCCTGAACAATATGATCTAATTCATGCTCATTTTTCCTAATACCCATGAAATACTAGCTTTCTTTCCTCAAGGAAAAAAATTGGTAAATGATCATGTCTATCAAGGCTTATCTGACAGGGGTATACTTTACTAGCTACTTTATTTGGATTATCTCATTTAAATCTTACAACAAGGAAGTAGTTGTATGTTTACATGGGAAGATAATGAGGCCTGGAAAGATGAAGAAATACTATCAAAGTCACACTGCTGGGAGCTAAACATGCGAGGATCTGAACCTAAGCCCTGAGCCTTAAATCATAGTTTTACCCTTCCCCTCACTCTACACTTTTTCATCGTATTTAGAAATGCACAAAAATTTCAAAAGGTACTTATACTTTAACTTGGAATATAGCTGAATATAATACTGGACTCTTCTGCTCACCTTTGCTGTTAATGCCTGCTCTATCTTTCCCACCTAAGAAGTGGCTATGTTCCAGCCTAGGCAAGTAAGACGGGAAGCATGTCACCCACTTGGGGCTAACCAAATGACTTTCCCAAAAGAAATCATCTGTGAATGTCGCCCCCAAACCTACAAAACCTACCTAAGAATTAGAAAAGCTAATAAAATAAAGTACTTTGGAACACGCTTTGCACATGTAAGTGCTCAACAATTACTACTGCTAATTAAATCCCGCAACATATTAATTCCAAAGGGCAGTTCTAAAATGGATGCGGTGGTCAATGTCTGTAATCCCAGCTTGTGTCACTTGGAAGTTTGAGGCAGGAGAATTGTTGAGTTCATGTCTACCCTTGACTACATAGTGAGTTCAAGGCCAGCTTGGAATAGAGACCCTGTCTCATAACAAAATCAAAAAACAAAAACCCAAAGAAATCAATCAATCAATAAATAAAGAGCTTATAATTTATTTATTTAAATAAATAAGGAGTTCTAAGGCAAATTATTTTTTTCCAATACTGGGGATTGAAGCCAGGGCCTCTATACTGAGGTACATCCCTAACCTTTTTTATTTATTTATTTAAATTTTGAGACAGGGTCTTGCTAGGTTGTCCCGGCTGGGCATAAACTTGCCATCTCCTGCCTCAGACTCCTGGACTGCTGGCAACACCACACCCAGCTCTAAGGCAAATTTATACCAAATTCATATAAAAATTATGCATGCAGTTAAGGACACCCCCTAAACATTACAATTTTGTTTGTAATCCATACTCACCAGCTTTTTGAAAGGGAATATATCATACATTATTCTACAATATTCCATGGAAGACTCTACTGAACAAGTCCACAATGATTTAGAGATGGGGGCCAAAGGAATGATGCCTTGGGTCCTATTCTTCACCAGCATATCAAACTCTACATGCTGTCTGCAGGACTCGGCCATGTATGGGCAGTGATCCACAACAAACACTGTTTTATGCGATTCAGAAAAAATCTTCATTTTGTTTTAACCTATACAAAGAAAAATACACTAGTCAACTGTCGATACATAAGATTCACTCTCTTATTTCTAATGGATGTGTCTTTCCTTCTTGCTTTGGTAGGAAACATAACACCTTCAGAAAGAAAATATGTCCAACATATGACAAGGTTTACTGGAGTCATGATCAGAAAGCTGCTGTGTCAAGGCACGACCGACACTGTATTTGGCTGCGACTTTACCAGGCACATGCAAAATTAGTGGGGTTTTTTGCTTTTTGAAAGAATTTAAAATTGTCCAAAGAAACCATTTCTACATATAATTGTATTTGATTCCCTTACACATACCACACATAATAAATGACATAGTTTCTGTAAATACACTTTTGATGATTCTTGCTGGCATCGACCACATATAAACCTCCAAGCCAGCATTTTGGACTTCCCTCCAAAAAAAAAAGAAAAAAGAAAACATTTCAAGACTTCTGAAAAATGCAGGTGAGATGGAGTGAAGGAAAATTAACAGGAAAGAGGGATAGCAAACGTAAAAGCCAAAACATAAGAGCTCTAAGATAACTGCATCCTGGGTCTGAGCATTAGGATAAGGACCCCCAAACTCACATTCTCCCCCGTAGCTTTTGATACATCACATAATTTACCATGTACAACAGAAAAACTTAAGTCACTACCTTCACGCTGGTGAGGAGAAACTTTTAAAACTTTTTCTTATAAAATCAGACCATACGGTACTTCCTTGCTTCGGTAATAAAATCTTATCCCGAACAGACAATTCCACATTAGAAAAGCACATGGTAGGCAGAACAAGTGTTCACCAAAACGAACTGTCTTTTCATGATCCTGCTATTTTGTTCTGCTCTCAAACGCATCTCCCCTTCATGCAAAACTCTCTTTAAGAAACCTTCTAGGCGCACTCTGCTGGAGGGTGGGGGTGGAAAGTACAAGGTGAGTGGATAGGGAAGACCTCAAGATCGAGGTTCGCTTACTTTCGTGCCTGGTCCTGCAGTGAAAACGAACAGAGGCTGCGAGCCACAGCCTCTCTGGCAAAGGCTGCTGCCTGGGTGGGTGGGGAGAGTCAGCGCACAGTCAGGCGCGTCTGGTACCAAAGACAGAGCACTAAGCTTTCCCCACTCATCTCCCCGCACACTGGTCCTTCCCAGGCTTCCTAAAAGCAGGAGCGCGCGCGTGCGCGTGCACAAACACACACTCGAACACTGGGGCTCGCGCGTGCGCAGGGCAGTCTTCAGCAGGGCCGCCGAGGGTCCCTTCCCCCTCGCAGGGCCGCCGCGCCAGTGGGAGAACAGGAAGAGGGCGGAGCCAAGGAGAAAAAAGATTCCTTCACCACTCGAGATTTTCTACCCGCTAATTTTCCCAATCACCCATTGGGAAGAACGATCCGGGCGACCTGAGAGTCTCCCCCAAAGCCGAGTACCACCCACACAGCACCGGCGACACAGGCCAAGGACCCCTTGGCGTAAAGCCCACCCACCAGCCTCCCTTTCTCGGCCTCTGTACCCAGGCCGGTTTCCCCAGGAAAAACACGCGAGACTTCGCGAGAGGGATCGCGGAGGGCCCCGCCCCTAGCGAAAGGAAGTCTCGCGAGGCTGGGCCGCTCTGGGAGCCGCTTCAGAGGCTGTCAGCGGAGGTGGTCCCTGGGCTGGGCGTGTGGCTGAGCCCTGCGGGGTCCGCGGCCGCCTCTCCGCCCTCGCGGCCGGGCGCTACGTCTGCTCGCAGAAGAGGCAGAACGGGGCCGCCGAGTCTGTTCCGTTGGGTGCACAGGTCCCCCTTGGCGGGCCCCGTGGGTCCGCGTCGCCCCAGCTGACGACCGCGAAGCACTGCCTGGAGCGGAGTGAGTGGGAGAAATCCGGGGACTGAGCTGCCGTGGGTGGGTCGGCAGCCTCCTGCGCCCGCGCCGCCCCGGTGCCGGACCTTCTCTCCCGCGGTCAGCGCGAGCTCCCCTCTCCGGAACCGAGCTGCAGAGTCTCATGAGCAGCCTGACTCTGTGGACACACCTTCCGTGTTTGTTCTCTGCCTGCTTTACCAACCCCGGACCTCACCACGAAGGGTGGGCAAGGACAGACCCTGCTCAGTCTTCAGTTTGTCCCTTTGCAGCATTTGACCCGGAGAGCCATTCCGCCTTTCTTCAAACTGCCCTCCGCAAGGTATTTTTTGTTTTCCTCCAGTTTTTTTTCTCTGAGAAATGACTTCAGTATCTGACCTGCTACCCAGACTAAGAGCCTAGGAATAATCCTAGGGTCTGCATTTCCATTCACACTACACAGTATCATTTCATCTTTGACCAGAACTATTGCAGTCGCCCTAACCCCATCCCAAATTGGTTTCTCCACCATCGTCGTTCCAGAGTTTGCATTCTCAAATAACCTGTTTTTGTCTGTTCTCAAACTTTTTCAGTAACAATGTTACTGACTGAATCAAGTTCTGATGTAAAGCATATCAGTCATTTAGGACCTCTTACAGTCTGTCTCGGTCACGTTGTCCCTTTTTAGTGTCATCTTGTTTCTTTCCGAAATACTTTTAATACTCAGCCATACCAGACTACTGTTTCCCCAAACGTGCCCTACATTTTCACAGCTCTCTGCCTCGTAGGTGGCTGTGTGCACCCGACCAGAATACTTCCTTGTGTGTTAGTGTATAGTTCATTATCTTCTCAGACTCCTATGAGTGTCAATATTACAGCTGTGCCCAAAGCACTGGAAATAGTTCGGCAGTATTTATTAGGATGTATTATTTGCTTATTTATCGGTCTCTTCTACCAGCTTAAACTTGAGTCTAGAGTTATGTCTTATTCACCTTTGAAACAAAAGGTAGGCCAGTGCTTGGCCTACTGCAACCATTATTTATATGTATGTATACATGAAAAAAAATACCGTAGGAGTTTTTAGTCCCTTAAAACCATAGACTTTTAGAGCCAGATGGAACGCCATGTATTAGCTTAACGGCCCCTCATCTGTATTGAATATGAGCAACCTTGCAGTCCTAACTCATATGTAATTAATTGTACTTTTAGTATTTGGGATTATATACAATAACAACAAAAAAAGTCCCTTTAAATGATTTTGGATTAATAGGAAGAAAAGGTCCAAAGGGGTAGGGGTAGTGGGAGGGGCAGGGGAAAGGAAAGAAAGGAAAGGAAAAATGATGAGAAATGGAAAAAATGGAAATAAAGTCTTTGTAAATAGGGAAGGGTGGAGGGGGTGAAGGGAGGGC